AAAATCACGCAGAGAAAGAGAAAGACAATAAGAAAAAGGAAAAAAGGAAAGGAAAGGAAAGAAGGAAAAAGAGAAAATAAAGAAAAGAGACAGGAAGAGAGAAGAAAAGAAAAAGAAAAAAACAGACAGACAGAAAATAAAAGAAAGAATGAAAAAGAGAAAAGAAAGATGAAAGAAAGGAAGAAGGAAAAGTAGAAAAGAAAAAAAAGAGAAGAAAATAAAAGAAAGAAGGAAAAGTAGACAAAGAAGAAAGAAAGGAGAATAAAAGGAAAAACAGGAAAAAAAATAAAGAAGAAGGAAAGGAAAATAACATAAAAAGAAGGAAAAGAAAATTAAAGGAAAATAAAAAAAAAATAAGAAAAAGGAAAGGAAAAGAAAAGAAGGAAGGAAAGAAAGAAAATAAAGAAGAAGGAAAGGAAAATAATATAAAAGGAAGAAGAAAGAGAAAAGGAAAGGAAAAAGAAAAAAATAAGAAAAAGGAAAGGAAAAGAAAAGAAGGAAGGAAAGAGAGAAAGTAAAGAGAGAAAGGGAGAGAAAAAAAGAAGGAAGAAATCAAAAGAAAAGAAAAGGAAGAAATAAAGAGAAAATAAAGAAGAAAAGAAAGAAAGAAAGAAGTAAAAAAAAAAAGAAGGAAGAAATCTAAAGAAAAGAAAAGGAAGAAATAAAAAGAGAAAAAAAGAAGAAAAGAGAGAAAGAAAGAAGTAAAGAAAAGAAAGAAGGAAAAAGAGAAAAGAAAGAAAGAAGGAAAAAGAGAAAATAAAGAAAGAAGGAAAAAGAGAAAAGAAAGAAAGAAGGAAAAAGAGAAAATAAAGAAAGAAGGAAAAAAGAGAAAATAAAGAAAGAAGGAAAAAAAGAGAAAATAAAGAAAGAAGGAAAAAGAGAAAATAAATAAAGAAGGAAAAAAAAGAAAATAAATAAAGAAAGAAAAAAAGAAAATAAAGAAAGAAGGAAAAAGAGAAAATAAAGAAAGAAGGAAAAAGAGAAAATAAAGGAAAAGGAAAGAAACAAGAAAAAAGAGAAGATAGAGAAGAAAGAAGAAGGAAAGAGAGAAAATAAAGGAAAAGAAAAGAAGGAAGGAAAAAAAGAAAATAAAGAAGAAGGAAAAAGATAAAATAAACGAAAAGAAAAGAAAGAAGGAAAAAGAGAAGATAAAGAAAGGGCGCCACCACGCCCGCAGCGAACCAACCGCCTTCCTTCGAGCGCCTTGTCTCCGCGTCTCAGTGGGCGCCGTCCTCACGCCCGACCTTAACGAGAGCGAGAAATAAGGAAAAGAAGGTGTTTATGGGGCTTTAAACAAGGATATATCAGGAAAATGGCGGACTAATAGCCCCCCCCCCCCCCGGTAGCTAAGAGACCGGCTGGGAATGGCCCGTCGCGGCTTGGAATTTAACACGCAGTCACAAGCGAGAGGGAAGGAAAGTAGGGGGGGGGGGGTTAGGTTGAGAATTATTCCCATTTTCCCTTTTTTCTCGGTAGGGAAGTGGGAATGCGTGTGTGTGTGTGGGTGGGTGGGGTGGGGGGGGGTAGGTGTGTGTGTGGGTGGGGGGGGGGTAGGTGTGTGTGTGTGTGTGTGTGTGTGTGTGTGTGTGGGTGGGTGGGTGTGTGTTTGTTTGTTCATTGATTATCTGTTCGTTAGGCTGCTTGAATTAATACGTCTTTTTTTTTTTTCTCTCTGTTTAAATATCCATCTTTATATGATCTCTTTCTTTTCTCTCTATTCTTATTTTCATATGTCGCTCCTTTTTACATCCGGGATCCTGATTCTTTATCCGTTTCTTAACTACTATTCTGCCCTCATCACTCTATCATCATTCTCCTTTATCTCCCGTTTCCAAATTCTCTCTCACTCTCATTCTCTCTCTGTGTATACATTTTTTTTCTACTTTTTCCCTCCTAGTTCCTCCAGTTCCTTACCACATCATCGACGTAGACTACGACGCCTTCGCTTGCGCCTACTCCTGCTTCGACTTCTTGGGCCTCAAAGCAGAAATCTACTCCATTTTGTCTCGAAGTCCCGAAGCTTCGAACGCGACGCTGTCCACGTGCCGGGATTCGTTCGAAGCGCTCGGACTGAGTCTCGAGAAGATGGTGTCCGTAGAGCAAGGAGAGCAGTGTTGGTATAGCGAGGTAGGTGCGAATGCATCGTCGACGTTATCTCCCTTTTTCGTAACCGAAGACGAAGCCGAAGATGACGAAGAAGGATTCGAAAGAGGCTTGGAAGACGCCCTACTTTCCGTGGCGGAGGAGGTGGCCGGAGCGGTTGAGAGGATGGAGGAGGTGTTCGGGACGGCGGAAGAATATCACAAGACGACCATCATACCAACAGAGAATAAAAAAACAGAAAATAATGCAACAATGAAACGACCAAAGAAGAAACACAGGAAAAAGGGCGGGACAAGAGGAAAAAGTGACCCTATGTCGCCCGTTGTCTCGTCTACGCCATCTTTTGTTATCCCAGGTAAGTCCTCATTAGTGTGCAAATTATGTACTCAGGTTTCATTCTTTGAAATTTTAGATCTATAAATCAATAGATTTTCCTAACTACCGTATATTGCACGTACATACATACATACATACATACATACTTACATACTTACATACATACATACATACATACATTCATACATACATACATACATACATACATACATACATACATACATACATACATACATACATACACACACACACACACACACACACTGTCTGTCTTGTTGTCTACATACATACATACATACATACATACATGTGTGGAATTCATGTCGAACAAATTGCAAGTAGAACAACGAAGGGAAGTTTTCCTCTACTTCCTTACATGCACACACACACACACACACACACACACACACACACACACACACACACACACACACACACACACACACACACACACACCAATACATGTATACACACATACATACATACAAGTACACAAAAACACAAACACTCAAAACACACACACACACACAAACACACAAATACACACACACACACACACACTCACACCCTCCTAAGCCAGTGCCCAACACACGTCCCTGAAAATCCAGAGATCAGGGCCATTAATAACGATGACAACCGCCCAATCAATAACCATAACTCCACCTCCCCTCCCCACCTTGCCCCGCCCTCCAGCCCCCCCCTACCCCCTGACCTCCACCCCCCCTTACCCCCTGACCTCCAACCCCGCCCCCCCCTACCCCCCTCGCGATCCAGGACCCGGATGATTTGCATGGCGTTTAATCAAATTCGAATTTCTACGAACGGCATCCACGGGACAATTGAGTGAAAGCCTTGTGTGACCGAGAGGGAGGGAGGGAGGGAGGAGGGAGGAGGCGGGGGGGGAGTGGGATGAGGGTAGAAGGAGGAAGGAAGGAAGGAGGAAGAAGGAGGAGGAAGGGAGAGAGGAGGGAATAGGGAGGGGGAGGGAGAGAGGAGGGAATAGGGAGGAGGAAGAAGAAGGGGGAAGGGAGGGAGGAAGGAGAGACGAGAGGGAGGGAGATTGGAAGAGAAGGAGGGAAGAGGGAGGGAGGAAAGAGGCGGAGGAAAATGGCGGGGAGAGGAGGGAGAAGAGAGGAGGGAGAAGAGAGAGAGGAGAGAGGAGGGAGGAGGGAGGGAGGAGAGAGGAGGGAGGGAGGAGAAAGGAGGGAGGCCGAGGTGAATGGAGGCTTCCGTTGTCGCTCGTGAAATTGGCTAAGCGCGAGACAATGCTTGGTGTTTGGGCGGAGGCAAGGGTGGAGGGGAAGGGAGGGAAGGGGAGGGTAGCAAGGGGGGGGGTGCGAGGGGGTAATGGGAAGTAGAGGGGGAAGGTGAGGGTACCATGGGGCAGGGGGAGAGGAGGGAAGAGAGGGGGAGGGAAGGGCGAGGGGAAGAGGGAAGAGGAGAGGGAGGGGTAGGTGGAGGGAAAAGAAGGGACAAGTGGAGAATGCCAAGAGGTGAGGGGGGAGAGGAGGGGGGAGTGTAAGGAGGGAGCTAGGAAAAGATACCAGGAGGTGGAGGGAAGAGAAAGAGGAAAAGGGAAAGGGGAAGCAAAGGGAAAGGGGAGGGGGGGGGGGGAGTGTGCAAGAAAGTGGAGGGAAAAGGAAGGGAGTTGGGTGATGGAGGGACTGACTTGGACCCGGGGGAGGGAGAAGGAAGGAAGAAAATGAAGGGAGAGGGAAGAGAGGAAAAGTTGTTCCTTAGGGGTTGGCAGCATTGGGTGAATCAAGGGGGGGGAGGGGGGGAGGGGTCAGAAGGTGAAAGGACTGGTTGGGACCTGAAGAAAGGGGGGGGGGGAGGTAAGAATAAAATGAAGAACCCTGTAGAAGGACCCTGAAAGAAAGGGGGGAGGGGGGGGGCCCTGAGGGTTAGAAGGTTAGCAAGAGAAGAAAAGGGTTTAGCTAGGACCTTAAAAGAAGGGGTTTAAGAGATAAGGGAGGAGGAGAAAAGGGGGAAAGAGATAATGGGATAATACGAACACAAGGGATAGGAGAGCCGCAAGACGAGAAGAGAGAGCTTGACATTCCACCTCACAATGGCTTGCATTCAATACTTTATTACACGAGGGTTTACACTAGGATTACACCCGGATTTAATGGACGGATTTTCGAGGGCTTCCTCTTCTCTTAATCTCTTCCTCTTCCCCTTAATCCTTCCCGTCTCTCGCCTCTCATTGCTTGCATGCTTGAGATTGCCGCTAAATGCATGTGCGGCGAGAGTGCCTCTGCCCTTTGAAGTGTCAGCAAGATCATACGTACGCATATGTATACACATAAATAAACACGAATAAATGAATATTTAGAGATCATGCCATTTAGTTGTTTGTTTATTTAAGTACGTGTGTGTGTGTGTACCTACTCCTGTGTGCGTTACACGGCATGTAAATATATACAGCAGATAGAGAGAGAGAGATCATCACACCTTCCACTGAGTAATTACGTTGTATCAACATCGTATCAGGACGCGTCGCGGCAGCAAGAAATATTCGCCGGCACATTTACACGCCTAAAAAGGGGAGGAGGAGGAGGAAAAAGAAGGGGAAGGAGAAGGAAGGAAGGAAGAAGAGGAGGAAAAAGAAGGAGCGGGAGGAGAGGAAGGAGGAGGAGGAGGAGGAAAAAGGAGAGGAAGGAGAAGGAAGGAAGGAAGAAGAGGAGGAAAAAGAAGGAGGGGAAGGAGGAGGAAAAAGAAGGAGAGGAAGGAGAAGGAGATGGAGGAAAAAGAAAGAGAGGAAGGAGGAGGAGGGGAGATGAAAAAGAAGGAGAGGAAGGAGAAGGAAGGAATAGGAGTAGAGGAAGGAAGAGGAAGGAGAAGGAGGAAAAAGAAGGAGAGGAAGGAGAAGTAAGGAATAGGAGTAGAGGAAGGAAGAGGAAGGAGAAGGAGGAAAAAGAAGGAGGAGAAGGAGGAGGAAAAAGAAGGAGTGGAAGGAAGAGGAGGAGGAGGAAAAAGAAGGAGAGGAAGGAGAAGGAGGTGGAGGAAAAAGAAAGAGAGGAAGGAGGAGGATGGAATAGGAGGAGAGGAAGGAAGAGGAGGAAGAAAAAGGAGAGGAAGGAGGAGGAAGGAAAAGGATAGGAAGGGAGAGAGGAGGAGGAAAAAAGGAGAGGAAGGGGGAGGAGGAAAAAAAGGAGAAGAAGGAGGAGGAAGGAAAAGGAGGAGGAGGAAAAAGAGGGAGAGGAAGGAAGAGGAGGAAAAGGAAGGTGGGGAATGAGGAGGAGGAGGAAAAAGGAGAGGAAGGAAGAGGAGGAAAAAGAAGGAAAGGAAGGAAGAGGGGAGGAAGAGGAGGAAAAAGGAGGGGAAGGAGGAGGAAGAGGAGGAAAAAGAGGGAGAGGTGGGAGGAGGAGGAGGAAAAAAGAATGAGAGGATAGAGGAGGAGGAGGGAAAAAAATGAGAAGAAGGAAGAGGAGGAAAAAGAATGAGGGGAAGGGGGAGGAGGAAAAAGAGAAATAGGAAAGAGGAGGAAAAAGAAGGGGTAGGAAGGAGGAGGAGGAGGAGCAGGAAAATAAAGAGAGAAAGGAGGAGGAGGAATATGAAAAAGAAGAAGAATGAGGAGGAGGAAGTGGAGGAACAAATAGCACCCCATAGTCAAAAGAAAACCAACCGACAGGATTAACTGAGAACTTGGAAAAAAAGGGACGAATGTTGAGAATAATGTCACAATGCATGGAAGTTACTCTCATCCACATTTTTGCCACAGCGAGCCCTCTCCACCACATTACCTAATCATCATCCCTAACTAATCTTTCTCTCTCTCACTCTCTCTCTCTCTCTCTCTCTCTCTCACTCTCTCTCACTCTCTCTCACTCTCTCTCTCTCTCTCTCTCTCTCACTCTCACTCTCACTCTCACTCTCACTCTCTCTCACTCTCTCTCATTCTCTCTCACTCTCTCTCACTCTCAGGTGGCTCTCGAGACTCCAAAAGCTCCAGCTCCAACTCTCCTGAAGAAGAGACAGCCTTCGAGAGCGGAAGGCATGCAGGCGGCGCTGCGACCTCGACTGCAACACCCGGATTTATCGCCGCGCTCCAGCTGGTTGCCTTATACGTTCGAGTGGTGTTAAGATAGGGTTATGTAGTGGATAAGTTTGTTTATAGGATGCCTGTAGGGCTTGGATTTGTTATTTATGTTATGTATTGGAAATTATATTTTTATTAGGTTTAGTGAATGTATTTCAGTGACTATTGTGTGTGTGTGTGTGTGTGTGTGTGTGTGAATGTACATGTAGTAAATGTGTGCGTGCATGTAAATATATAGAATAATAAATAGATAAATAAGTGGATACATACATAAATGAATTAGAGGATAAATAAACAAACATATGAATAGACACACGCACATACGTACACACCACACACACACACACATATATATGTGTATGTGCGCGCGCATGTGTGTCAGTGTAACTCAATTAATTGCACTGCAAGTTGATTTACATTCAACAATTATTCCCTAAGTTTACAGATATGAGTGTTCCAAGAATGAAGAAAAGAGAAAAAAAAGAAAGAAAATATATGAGTTCGTTATGATTCAGTTGACTTTAATTGTCTTTGAATATTCATGATATCTAAAACTATCAAGTAGGCCTATTGAATATTTATCATTCACTGTACGGAAAATAAATAAATATGTGATTATATAAAACATTTGTGTGGCTATTATTTTCGCCAAAAAATATGACTTAACATAAATCTAGTCTGTCATTTACCGGTCCATCTGCTTTAACACAAAAATATGATAAAAACATTTATTTTAGAATCGCAGAGGGGGGGGGGGTTGTACGAGGTTGCCAGTGCATGCTTTGACCAGACTTTCATTCAGATTTCAACATATTCACATTTGTGATGGAGAGTGACAGGTAACAGAACACACAATAACAAAATCAAGACGAGTCGCATGGAATATGCAAGTGTATAAGTTGATTCATAACAAGGGATGTATAACAGATATACAGACACACTCAGACACACGTAACAGATAGACAGGCACACAAAATCTGAAGACATAACAGACAGGCACAACCCACAGACAAACA